ATTTCAGTGAACCAAGACATCCAAAACAGGCTTTCTGGTAAATTAGCTCCATGAATCAGCTCCCAGCGCCAGTGTCAGGAGCTGTGAGAGAGGAAATGAAACAACTGCATCTAAAAAAGCCAGTGCCAGCCATTATGTTGGCTCAGTTAAAACCCTGCCCTTCACCTAAGGAGATTCATAGGAAGTCTAATATGCTGTTGAGTATGCTATGAAAAGGCTAGAACCATCTGTTGCTGCAGCCTTAGAAATCTAAAGGCTCCTTCATTGTTAGTAAGAGCTTAATTGCTTAAATAAGAGCAATGTCTGAGTAATTTACACCCTATAGATGACTTTAGAAATAGCCGAGTAGCCAGATTGCTGCTTTGGAGGCTGCACCAGGCTGCCCGGGGCACTTTTGCGGAGGGCCGTGCCGTTGTCCTGCCCAACACAGCCAGGCCGTGAGCAGAGCGGGTGCCGGCCTGGCCCCCAGCAGTGGTGCCTGAGTTTAGGCCAGAGCTGGTTCAAGTCCTACTGCCTCCTCACTAAAAAGGAAGCCAAAGATGCCACCTATGTTAAAGGAAAAAATGAACTGCAGCCATGACTGAGAATATGTGCGGGAATTATAACCCATTTCTGGTAGCCTGTCAGAGCATTTTTAGGATGCTAGATACCAGTCTGAAGCATTTCAAGTCTGTGTTGAAAGCAGTTTCTTCCCTTGCCCATATCCTGAAGTTTATTTTTCTGTCATCCCTCTAAATTCTTTTTTTCTCTGCCATAACCCAGAGCGTATGGGGATGCTGTGGCTGTCTCCTTGCAGGACGTACACAGCTCCTGCCTGTGATGCCGTTTAGATGGCCCGTGGGTTGTCCTCCCAAAAACAGCTGGCTGTACATGGAGGAGAGGGGATTCACAGCTTCTAGTTTCTTGCCATTCCTTATTGTAATGAGTAGTCCAGGTTTAGTTCAGGATTCTGTGTTAATTTTCTGTTTTATTTATGCTAAGTAGTACACTAGCTTCTTCAATACACTACCCAGATGCTGCTTTTTTTACTTGGACTACCTCTGCCTGATGCTATATTTGATTAATTTTAGATTGTAAGAGAGTTATTGCAGTACTATAATTCTCTATGAGGCACTATGAGGCAAATTAATTTGTTTTGTTACTGAGTTCTTTTTATCAGTTTACTACATGGGAACAGAATTTGTTTCTTATGGCTCAGACAAGTAGTTTTGGCATAATTTTATATATCCTCTTATATGATGCTCATTAAACTTGAAACACGCTTTGATGAGAGAGAAGATCAATGGATTAAACAGTAATTATCTCCTACAAAGCACTGTTCTTGACAGAATAAGTCACATTTACCATTCACTCGGATTTAATGGCAGCAACTTCATAATAAAGCAGATTTTTTTAAAAAACGTACAATTTAAAGTTCTAAACATCCAGATGCAGTTAATTAATCCTATAATGAGGCTTCTCCTACAGCTGACCATCTCACAGGCTTTTGAAGGTGCTAATTGTGCAGAACAATCTGACATTCTTTAAACTCTTTGTGTGGTGGATGCCACGAATGCCTGTGCTGAGCAAGGAGCAGACAGGAAGGGAAAGCGTACAAGTGCCTTTTGGGCAACTTAATTATCGGGACAGGCACGAATAGGCTGACTGTGGAAGATCAGGTTGCTTGTCAGCTACAGGTGTGCAAATACTGACTTGCCCCTATACAGGCTGAATGCTAGCTCTGATAAATAAGAACTTTGGCCCTGATTTTGAACGTAAGCAGCTGTGCAGTTAGCTCACACACTGCTCCCAGCTGCGCTTGCTGCAATCGCAGTTTCCATGCAGGGATTTATCCCTGTCTCAGGGCTTGGCTTATAAGACTGAGGCGGGGGGGGCTGAGTGCTACACACCACGTGCCGCTGGTCTTTGGATAAGATGCACTCCCAAGACTCGTACTTGGACAAGAAAGGCCCCGTGGTGCTCTGAGTCTGGAAGAGGCAAGATGATCTCTAACATCTGGGCCAAATTACAGGCCATGTTGCTGTAATCCATCCCTGCAATCTCTCCGCAGATTCCACTAGTACAATTATTTTATGTTTTTCTTGGTCCTATTGTGTAGATTAGGACCAAGTTCGAGTTGCTAATGTCTCTAACTTCACATGTAACGGGAGGGACTGCAGGACATTGACAGCACCTGTGCTGGAGCTCAGCGCTTACAAGCCTTGGGCAGCAGCTACTGCAAAGAACAGCAGGGACTGTCTGTGATCACCCATTCTGGCCATCCAAAACGCCTTAAGATCTGAAGGCAGAAGGAATATGTTTTCTGTCATTTGGCACCTAAGTAGTTATGTTAAATATATTAAAAATATATATGTAAGCAGTTTTGCCAAATAAAACCAAAATGTTGCCAATTTTGATCCCCTTTAGAGAACAACTCTGTTCCTAAAGAAGAGGAAAGGCAGGCACACGAACTGTTGAAACTGCATGCAATCTCTAACCTGTTGGCTCGCATCCTTATCCATCTTCACAATGGGAGTACCATGAACAAGGAAACCCAGTTACTGTGACGGTGGCCTGTGGCTTGAATGCTGAGTACAGTTTGAGCCCATGAGAGGAGGCATTTAACAGTGCTCCTGGTTGCAGAGCCCTGTGGTTAAAAGACATGCTTGCCGTTTCAAAAGGAACCACTGAAAGAATGGAAAATCATTACTTTGCATTTAAAAGATACTATGCAATTAAAAAATATCCCTGAGACCTTTGTTTAGTGAAGCTGAGACTGAATTATCCATGTAGGGAAAATTTCTACACCTCTTTCAGAGCCCAGAAGAAATACTAGGAGCTGTTCCTAGCTTGGTAGTGAGGGCATTTGCTCCGGGTTTCAGTCGGTGCCTCACAAAGGCATTTTGTTTCCCCCCCTCACATGGTGCTGAATGGATGTATTCCCTCAGGTGCCTCCCCACAACCCCGATGGCTTTCACCCTCCCTCTGCAACACGCCTCGGCCACAGGGAGACCTAATGGTAGCTCTGTTCAGCCAGCGTCGGTCTTGGATTATAAAAAAGCCAGGATACGAAGTAGTGGGAAGGGGGACCCTCCTGCTGCCCTCTGGTCTTGCTGCTCGAATAAGCAGGGTCAGATAAGCCTGGAGGGAGCTCCCGGCCCCTCTTCTTCAAGCTGCCTCGCAAGGAGGGATGTCGGCTGCCTGCAGCGAGGCCCGGAGAAAGAGCCGGCTGCTCCCGGAGCAGAACCTGGCTGGGTGGCAGCACCGGGATGGGCCAGTTCCTGATCCCGGAGCAAAACCCAGCCGGGTGGCAGCACCGGGATGGGCCAGTTCCKSAYSCCGCTCCARRMMGCTCCAGCAAAGCTGCAGGAGCAAAAGCACCAGAGATGGTGCATGCTCTACCACAGGTTGTGTTCTGCAACTAGAAATAAGCCTCATAATATATTTTTAAATAAGCACAGTAGTTTCTATAGAGGCCCTCTGCCGAGGCAATTGCTTTTCCGTGGCTTAGTCATCCAGCACAAAATGAAGTGCCTGCCAGATCTGTTTTGACAGGTGCTGCTGTTTAGTTGAGGCAGTTTCAAGTCATATCTCCAATTTGCTTGTAGGGATTCTGGACTGGATTTTTTTCTCCTGAATTACTTAGTATTGTCCAACTAGAAATTCAACTCCTTTCTGCTCATAACACTCAGAGGTGCAAAAGCAACTTAATATCCTTAGCATACAAGTAACTAACTAGCCAGAATAGACAAAAAAGCCTCAAAATTAGAGCTACAGGGGCAAGATCCAGCAGAAATTGTTCATCCCTGTTTACAGGGCATTCCACAGCACAAAACAATCTTTTACTTGCAGAAGTAGTCTCCTTGGACTATGCTGTACCTAGTCCCTTTCTGGGAAAGGAGCTATGGTACTCAAGCTCTTGAAAAGGGCCTAAAATGAATTTAAAAAAACAAAAACAAAACAAAACAAAACAAACAAACAAACAAACAAAAACCCACCACCAACAAAAAAAACCACCCCTACCTTGGACTTCTGCAAATTTGTAAAGCAGAAAGAATTCTAATGCGACAAAGCAGCCCAGAATGGGGTTCAGTGGCCCTTCCAATAGAACAGTCTACCACAGAGCACTGCAGAGAAAGTCTAAGCTTCCCGAAGTAGTCAAAATGCTGCAGGAATTGCAAAACAACTCATTAAGGAGCCCTGGCTTCTGATTTCCCCAAATTATGATGGAAACAAATCTGAAGACGTCCCCATCTACTAAGAAAAAAAGAAACCTGAACCACCCTGAACATAACATTTGCTTTGCAAGGATATGGAGGAAAGGAGATACTAAATAAATAAATAAAAGATGCTAAATAAACAAATAAATTGTGCAGGTAATTTTTCAGAATTCCCAGCTTGGGTCTGGGAGCAGCCCTCATCTTCCCTCTCTCCAGCAGGCTTTAAGCACAGCATCAACAGCATTTGCTAAATGGATCAAAGTCTCTTGTGGCTCCCAGTTGTCTCCATCAATACAAATCACTCCACAAAGAGGACATGTTTGGGGATAACAAGTCGCAGTGGCCAGAGCTCCCCATGTGCTGGAGACAGGGCAGCCTCCCCGCATCCCGGCTGCGGGACACAGCAGACGGAGCCGTGTCCCCTGCACAGGAATTGCCGCCTGAGGTCAGTGCACGTCAGCCAGCCCAGAGATGGGCAGCAACTCCCTGTCCCAGCTTCTGTTCCCTGTTCATGTTCAGACAGTGTTTTGCTTTAAATGACACTGTTTGGCCATCTGAGATATTTGAGATGTGTTTCCATAGGCCTTCACTGATCACTAGAAAGGCAAATATACAATATACTTAAGTGGGAGCTTAAAGACTTGAAATACATGCTTCTCTATATGCTCTTCCATCACTAAGATATTTAAGCTATCAACATAAAATTAATTTTATAAATCCTTAGCTATGTGAATTTTTCATTAGTTTTGGTTTTGTTCAATTGACAAAATACACTAAGGAATGTAAAAAATATTTATTCAACCTAATTCAACATGACTATAGTCTGCAATACTAAAAACAAGATTTACAACATAGTAATCAAAGAAATGACCTTCTGTCGCCCAGTTAAATTGTTTTATAATTCATACAGTGTTTTTGCAATTATATTTTACAATAGCTTCAATTTTCAGAGAAGACAATGAGCTTTTCAATTGAACAAGTTTCAAAACCACTAATTTGCATCATTCAATTCTTCATGAGACTTTAAAAAACAGTAATAAATTGGTTGGAAATATATACAGTGAAGACCACTGAAAAGATGTTCTCCAAATGAGGAATTCTGTAAGAAAAATGTATTACATTGTTTTAAGACTATCTTACAGAAAGCAGCAACTTTCTGAGGTTGCTGCTGTATATTTAAAGATTTAATATAAAAGTCAGCCCACTCTAAGACAAATATAATCAGCAGACCTACAAGATTATAGTAATTCTTCAGTTATAGCAAGAACCTCAAAGTATTTGATATGAATGTATTATTCGCAATACCTGTCATTTTGAATACTAGTTGGCAATTATATACATTTTTATACAATTCTAAAATATTACATTGCAGTATTTAAGATAAACATACCATAGAAAAGGTACCATATTTTGAATGTCACTAACATACATTATTGCAATCAAATATGAAGCCCACTCTGTATTTACGTCTTTTCTGCTGAAGAGCCAGGTTTGTTTATAGATACTCCCACTACAATACAGTTTTTCCCTTTCCCTGTGCATCTGACATCCTACCATGAACAAGAAAAAAAGAACCTGGAGAAAAACAACAAAGAGGTGGTAAAACGAGGACTTCAAGTATTAAAAACTAGGTTAAGTCTGGTCTGACAAATAGCTATATTAACGCTTGTCAAAATTTAGCTTCTTGTAGTTTATTTCTGTTGAAGTTAAGTTTATAAATATGTCAAATAACTGAAGTGCTAATGTCTTCCTCAGCAGGCTACTCCGCACATATTGTAACAGTAAAGCTTACTGTATAAATAAATTAACTTAGGTTATCACACACTTAATATCCATCCCTTACAGAAAGGAGCCAGGCTGCTGCCTTCCACCATCCAAGCCCCAGGAATGGGCCCCGCTCCGATGGGAACCCCGGAGCGCAGCCCCCCCTTCAGCCAAGGCTCCTGGCCTGGTTTCCTCCCAGGGGAGCTGCCGGGGAAAGGCCAGTCCTGATGCAGAGCTGAGCGGGGTCTGTCAGTTTAAACATTGCTTTAATGTCCAATGTTGTTTGCTCACATTTCTGCTATTTTTACTTGTGCAGATACTTACCCAATCAAAAGGAACAGCAGATACACTTGAAATTACAGAACAACTGTTCTAAAACCAAACTAATTACAAACCAAGTGGCTGAAACTGACTGCTCCTTCTAATTTATGTGAATGGAAAAACAATGTTATCTAGTACCAGGTACAAAACAGCAAAAGTGCCACGAGAAGTAACACTAGGCACTGCTTAAGAAACACCTGGACAGTAATAATCACCTACAAGCCATGCTCATTTTAAAACCTAGTACTTTGGTGGCTAAAGTTGACACATATACGGGTCCTCTAGAAAGTGATCCATCATCTGCCTCTGCTCTGTCTTCTCACTGTCTTACACTCCCTGTTTCACATCAAGAGAAAGAAAAAGGAAACCTTTATTGGCCAGTAAAGCCACAATCACTTCTCCTTGGTAATGACTCATATTTCCTTTCAAAAAATCCCCATCTCAAGTGAGGAACTGGATTTGCCTGGGTATGGAAACACAGTATAGGAAAGGCATTTGGACATGCCAACGTTTTTAATTAGCTACACAGTTTAAAATATTTTGTTCTCTGCAGTTGATGCTTTTTCTTTTCATTCAGCATTTTGGCTCAAAGAAAGCAATTCAGAAGCCTCTTGCCCAACAGAAATACCCCCAAATAATGAAAACAAGTCACATTCTTAGGTTCAGTGGTTGCTGAAAGATTTTACCCTGCCACAAGACAGTGCTTTATTTTAAAAGGAAAAAAAAAATACGAGCAGCAAGTTATCACAATTCTCCACTACTGTGCAATAATGATGGAATCAACACAACAAGGAAGTCTCTCAGATGAATCTGTACAACTTCAGACGTCCCAGCCTTATGCTCCTTCTTGCTCAGGATAATTTAGAATTTTGCGGTGAGCTTGGCGCAAATATTGCTGCTGTTTGAAGTAAACTTTAAAAGCTCCTTTTATAGCAACAAAAGCAATTCCACCCTGAAAGAAAAGGAGATTTTGAAAACCTGCAGAGTTTAGTATCATATCATTGCAAAATATCTTTTTAAATAGAGACTTCTGGCAAAAGACTGTTTATTTTCTGATCAAATAGCGTTTCTTTTGAAGTCAAGCTAATTAGGACAATTCCAAATGAGCATCACAGGCGTAACATTTTCTGTCACAATGCAGTATTACTGAGGTTCATGTTACATAAAGCGATTACATACAGAGTCTATAAATCTTTTTGAAAGCTTCTATTTGCTCGGCAGTTTGACAAATATTCTAAAAAGTCAAAATCTATCCTATTTGAGGAACAAAAGTAAAATGCGGGGATCTATTTGTTCTTCTTCCCTTCTCTGAACAAATATTATACAAGACAAAATATTAGTTACCATTTCCACAGTCAGACTGGCAAAGTCCACTTGCCAAAGGCAAGCGTGGGGCGAGATCAAAACCTGCCTTTGTAAACCAGGAGGCCTTTTTAGAAAGGTTGCACCCTCATCCAGGAATTTCCAAACCCGACCAGATGCTAGGAGTCGGTTCTCCTTTAGCCCACACCGACGGCCACAGGCGCCTCCTCACTCTTCCCTTGCATTCAGGTTCCCCAAAAAGCTCCTTTTTCCCCTCTTTATTAAAAGAAATAAGGGGATGCTTTCAGAGACTTCGCACTCAGAAGCTAATACCAAAAGGCTAACGTACAAACCCTGAGCATTCCCTTGCGCTGACTGTTCTTAAAAGACACCAGTTTCTCACCTTCATTCTCACCATTAGATCACTGGTAAGATCTGACTAGCACCAGCTGCAGGTTTCTACCCTGCCTAGAACTGAGATCAGTTTCTGTGATAGCAGGTCGGTCTCACATACACAACACGATGCCTGTCCACTGCCAAGATCCTACCATAAAAAATGCTGTTCAGTTCTAGTGCAGTTGATGCTCCATTTCCTTAACACCCACCCACAACTTACCTTCACATTCCTATAATATTATTACAGCCTTATGAAACTTATGAAACAAGCAATACCAAATCTTACCAAGATTGTCCTTTGTAAATTTGAGTTAACGCTGCTGAACATCAGTTTGCCAACTATCGTGGCGATGGTTGGGAAAACGAGCGCTCCGCAGAGGATACGAGTAGCAGAGACGTGATCCGCGAGCGGGTTGGCCTCCGCTGGAATACGAGGGACGGGGCATCCAATGCCTGGAGGGACGAGCAGGAGGAAAAGAGGGATTCGTTACAGAGGCACTGCTGCCAACAGCTCACAGAAAGCTGCACGAAAACCTGCCTTTGCCTCTGCCACAAACAGAGCACAGGACACACCAAGAAAACTGGCTTTGCTCTCTATTTTTTAATTAGTGACCCTCTCCTTAGCAAATATTTTATTTCCATTCAATTGTCCTCCTTTCGAGTTTCAAAGTAGCAGCCAGGTGCAGGGAGGAGGGCAAAGGGCTGAGGCCCTTAACTGAAACCCTGTTTACCCTCTGCTCCTCCTCCAGCCAGGTACTGCATGCGCACAATCCAAGCAGAGACAAGATATGACCCCTACTTAGCAGGGCTGAAAACTACTTGTCTGCACCCAGCTCCTGAAGGCACAAGCTCCGACTTGTTTCATCCCATTACCTGGAAAGATGCTGTTCAAAATCTGTAGTTTATTAGAGTATTTGCGCCACAGTCTGAGCACGTAGTCTTCCCATCGAATCATCTTGCCCAATATTAGCATGACTGGGATGGTGGGAAGTCCAATCAGAAGAAATAAAGGATCAGCTCTCTCCATGACATCGAGACCTTCTTTATGACCCACAACCTGGAAAACAGACAAGAAGTTGACTGGGTAACTGACAAATGCCGCTGAGTTCACAAGCAGAGACCACACTGCTCGAGCACCTGGTTTGACTGGGACTGGCCACGCATTTTTACTTTAAAGTACATATATATGAAATATAAAAATAAGGTCTTCCAAAATGTCTAGGAAAACATACGAGTGTAGAATGATTAAGCCTAATCCTACAATCAAAATCAGATGTAACTATTTAAAAAATTAATTGATAGCAATCATCTCAAAACATTGTACATCAAGAACAATTCAATCTATTTTATAATAGTAGATGCAGAAATTGCAGCATTAAGAACTATTAGTTCTCGAAATCATGCAAAAGTGGTACGTTATTTTTCACTCTAGCTGAAGTAACTGCATATCTTTATTTGCACCTTATTTTCAAACAGTTAGTTCTGTTTTAAAGGAAATATTAGACTAGGTCATTATTGAAGCAACAAAGACTGGCATAATAAAAATCTGCTGGCATAATAAAAATCAGAATTTGTTCTTTGAAACACACATATATTAACTACTTCCAAAGGAAGCTCTTTTTCCCTCTCTCCTAAAGGGAACACATTTCTCACTTGATCTGAAGTGCAGCAGGCCTGTAGGAAGCCAAACCAACTATTAGACTAACTTCTCTTTGTCTTTTCTTCAGAAATGAGGCAAGTTTGAAGAGGGAAAAAATCTAATACTTCAGAAAAGCAGAGAAGTTACAGCTGGATTCAAGTACATAGCTATTATATAAAGTCTCAAAGTCAGTCTGATAATCCAAGGAAAAAATAAATAACACAATGGTAGATTTCCTCCAGCTTTGTCTCAAGATAAGAATTACTAAATGTTAACAGGAATTTAGTTCCTGTTAAGCGTTTCTGGAGGAAATAGTCTCTCATGACGTTTCTCATAGGCCTCTAGAAAGACCAAACCCATTAAAAGTGTAATTATTGCATTTGTCAGGCACTGGGCTTCCTGATGTCTCTTTTATTGCTGTTTATCCAGATATGGAAAAATTGGCAGAGTCTTCCCTTGCAGGAGATGTCAAAACCATGTGACAATAGGAAAAAGCAAACAAAACCAGAGAGACAGACACACACACAGTACTTGGTAGCAGGAATAGGTGGGACTGGGAGAAAGAAGGTACAGGCTGAAAACACTGTGGTCTGGCATCTACTTTAGCCTTGTTTTGAAAAAACTTTCCATCTCTTCTTCTAAAACGGGAAGCCGTTTTTTAACCACAGTTTCAACAAATAGGAATAACTGATGTTGTGGTTGCCAAAAGATTATTCCTTCGGGCTTAGCCTACCACTGCAGCCACAACGCCCATTTCTTGTTTTGTCGTTCTCTGTTTGAAGCTTAAGAATTGCTTTTGTGCTTCTCTGGTCCTTCAACCAAGGAAAGTCATGAAGGTCCCTACAGAAGAGGTTCAGTAGAGCAGCGAGCAAGTAGATCAAGATTTGCTAAATTCTGCATTTACTGCAATGTTCCTGTAAGAGCCACAACAAGAACAAAAAGCAAAGAAGACTCCTATGTATGTAATTTGGAGAATCACCCACTGGAAGGGAGGAGGCATTAAATGTCATTATCTGATTTTTATGCAGCCTGTTGACATGGGCCACGTTACCATCAGAGAGACTGCAGCAGCTCAGCTGGCCTCCACTTCAACTGGTTATCGCCACACGCATTTCTGCTCCAAGGACATGTGCCAACAGAACCATGTGGCACAAAATCTTATGACAGTGACAGGTAGGAGTAAATGGGTAGACCATACAATTCAAGAGAAGAAAGAGCTCCTATGTGACTTGAAACCATGCAGGTTAAAGTACTTAACCATTAATACACAGCATTTTGCATTTGTTGTTTTTGCATGAGTTACACAATTCAGAGCATACAAGTCTTCTCCACAAGAAGAAAACAAAACTGGTAAGCTCATGAAAAATTCACTATATCTCAAATGTTTGAGCATTAGCATCAACTTTTTATTTCCTTAGGTAAACAAGAGATGGATCTTATGCCAAATGTGAACAATGAGACACCCTTGGTTGAAGGCCAGGCATTAATAGCGGAGTTTGCCAGCTTATTACTGCTGCTGGCTGTGCTGTGCACAGTAATGAGCTTCATTAGCTGTAGCCCTATGCTTGATCAGTTAAAAGTAAAAAGCTTTCTATCTGCCTAGCTGGCAAATTTGTTAACTGCACTGCAAAGGCTAAGAGCAGCTAAAGCACAGGTTAAACTAGGAAGAAGGCTTTTAATAGATTAAAAAGAAAGAAAAAACCTGTTTTCCAGAAATGGTAGGATTTGGAGAATATATGTGTACCTGCATCACTGTCACAGCTCCATAGGTAACAGCTGTCCAGTAGATAGAGCCCACCATTATTCCAGCTGCAGCAAACGGACATGCCTTTGAGATCAGCCGATCTGCAAGATCCAAAACGTAAACAACTGGACCTATGATAAAGAGAAGTAAAGTTTCAAGATGTGTATAGAAACATCCTGAAGCAAGCTCTCAGCACACATTGCTGCCAAGAAAGCGTAAACGTGGCAAAACAGGAGCCTGACAGCCCACGTGTGCTGTTCACGTGAGAACAGGCAGGTAAAAAGCTACTGGGCTAAACTCCTCACTTGCTTCCACCTCTCATTCCATTCACTGCAACATCCTTCAGAGAGAAACATGCTGGTTACAGCACTGAGGCTGCACTGGGGCTTTACTGCGTACATGTGTAGCCAGAAGGGGCCTAATCAGGCTAATCCTAGTAAATTCATTTGTTCTAGAAAGAGATGTTAAGTTTTCACCCTCCTGAAAAATTAGCTAAAAAAACAATATATTTTCATGTTTTATAACAAATACCTTAACTATTCCATACCCGAATGGAAAATAAACAAGTACGGTTGATAACTTAGTGTCTTGCCACGGTGCCGCAAACACGGTTCTACATAAAGACTGTCTTTGAGCCAATTTGCACTACAGGTCTTGTCTAATTTTTTTTTCTTCCCCTGCTAAAATCATTAATGAAAATTCTTCTAAAAAATCAGTATTACTTTTCTGTAAAGTACTCTCCATTTTTCATTTTTAAAAAGGACAGTACAGCATTTAACATTTAATGTAAACAGTAGTGGTGACATCCAGACACTTTATACAAGGATTGCAGCAAACTGATATTTGTGCAAATACCATAGTGCAGAGGGTACAATTTAAAAACATCTATATAAGTGATATGTAATCTTGACAAAAGTAATGCAAATTGAGTAAATTATGTATCCCACTGTGCTAAGCAGCCCTAAACAGCTTAGACACTTTTTCAACACAATCTCTATTCCAACTCTGCTGCATCTTCCAGTTTTTACCCTACTATTCATGTATTTTGGTTGCCTTTCTGTGCCTCTTCTAGTGTTATGTGTATTCCTTGTTTTAGTTGAAGCTCTAGCTTTAAGGGTTGGCAGCATCTTCCTTGATGGCTTGCAAGACAGTAAGCATCTCACCAGCTCTTGCCTTCCAATATAACTAACAAAGCTTAATTATATAGATAATTCATTCTCAAGTATCCTATCACGTTTCCAAAGAGGGAACATTTTAATAAAAAAAATAAAAAAGAACAGACTGTTCAACTGTTATTTGACTTTCCAGACTTATCTAACAGTATGTGGAAGGTGGCACCAAGGTCATAACTGCACATACTAAGTGCACAGGAGTTTGCACATCCTGAAGGGTTCTCACAGGCACTGAAAGTAAGCTGGAAAACTGTTTGGAAAACTCACTCACCCTTACAGGAAAACTGACTTAAGGACTGCTATATAAGTATCTTATTAGTAAGTTAACATGTTTTATATTTTTAGTATCATCAATTTACTGTATCATTTTCTTTACCATGCCTCAGCATGCTCCACCCTGTCGATATGTTCACCCATACCAAATTTCCTGTCCTCATAATTGAGTCAGGCCATTTATTAACAAAGGGGCTCTGTTTCTAAGAGCTACTACCACAAGGTATTTTCAATCACTATGTTAAAACTGACTGGAAAATGACAAGCTGTAAAGTGTTGTCTTTGAAATTCCCTAAAATTTACTCGCTATACAGCACTTTAAGTGCTAATTTAATCAAAATTTAAGTTTGCAGCTATAGCAGTTGCAGAAAGAGCTTCACAGGATAAGCAAACACAGAACTGATGTAAAGGTGAATCAGGAACAACAGAATCAGATGGGAACAGACAAATTCATCTTTACAGTATTTTGTTTATGTGTAAGATATTCTAGGTGTTAAATTGGCAGTTATTTCATCTTATATGCAAGAAAGGAGAATAACAGTACAGTTTACTCGGCTACATTTTTTTTCTTGACCTAATCAATACCCTCTTGTAGAAAATATGGATGAATTGCAGCCCCGCTCTGGAAAAATGGCAACCACTGCTATTTTAAAAATATTTGAGATATACTGTGCAGGGTCTTCCTTGCATCTCATCTAAGTAGATTCTGCAAGAATCTCTCCAGCTTCTCTTTCACCTTGACAAAGCAACCTAGAACACTGCCTAACAACCAAATACAAATATTCTTACGTCTTCAATCTAGAACAATATTCACTCTTGAATACTTCCTAAGCAGAATGAAAATATGGTTTCAGGTAATGCATCATCTTGCTCAGCAAGGTTCCTTCCCTTAAATTTCCTTTGATAACAGTTTCTCTGCAGGCTCAATAAATCTGGCAGGTTTTAATGTGCTAATGTGTCAATTGCTGAAAGTCCCTCTTTGCTCAGCAAGGAAAAAAAGAATCACATTAATCCTAAGTTTAAATAGGTCAATCACTTAAGACTTATCAATAGACCTAACTAGGGAAACAATCTTTACGATATAATTAACTAAGGCAACACAGATGTGTGCAGAACAAATTGTTTCTGCTTGGGGAGCAGAATGAAAACAATTTCAACGGAACTGACAAAAAAAAGGAAAGAAAAAAAATACAGGAACCATACAAAGAAATAGCTCGTTATATTTTTGTTTGAAATTGAAGTGGTCCATTTCTTACCTAGCTTTGGAAATACTATTAAATATTCTGCATTGCACTGAGGACAAGCAACTCTAGCAGTACTGTTTCCTCTCTGCTTTTCATCCACCCAGCGCTGTAGACAAGTCTGATGAACCCATTTCGTGGATCCCCTGCACCTGCAAGGTCTCACCCACTCCGCTGTCCGATCATCCTCATCGGTAGCAAAGCAAACCCAGCAGCTTCTGTAATCACAGGAAGAGGAGGAAAAGTCATTTATATTTGCTCCTGCTTTTAATCCTACTTTTAAGCATTTAAAATAAAGTTTCACAAGTAAAGACGTTTACAAAACCTGCACCTAGACAGGATTATGCTTCTTCATTTATTCTTAACCACCACAAATACTCTGTACCACAATCTAGTTTGGGTGTGTTATCATCTTAGACAAGTAAGCAGCTGTTTCTAATGTATTTTGAATTACTAACTAAAATTTATAAGGTAAATAACAGAGATTACAGTATTCAGTCTCTGAATAATTCAATGTATAAGTCTTCATGTTAAAATATTGATATTATATGAATATTGATATTAAAATAAAATTATAAAGTATTTCCAAGACATTATTCTTCTTCACTACAGAAAGTTCTGTTCTTTAATTTTTATAACCAGATAGTTCTTCAAAGTATTTGAGTTTAATTTATTACTCAATAAATCCCTTAGGAAAGGGAGAAATGCCAGCGTGAGAGGCTACATGACCTGGAGAGAGCTAATGCTAAGAATGCCCTGAGAGCTACTCCGAGCATTAGGGCAGGTTGCTGGAGACTTTTCCAGCTTACAAAAGAAAGCGAAACATGCATCAAAACTAGCAAAATACCAAATACACGGCCACAACAATTATTTATTTTTACAGTGAAATAACATCTACGAACTTCCATAACTTTCATACTGAATTGTGAAGTTGAGATTAAACTAGTATCTAATGACTAATGACCTTCTTGCAAAGCTAATCTACTTCATTTTAAGAAGTTTTATATGAATAATTCATAGTTACCTTTTTATAAAAGCACATTCCAAAAGCATCCCTACCATCTAACTACCAAGGTAGTCTCAGAGATCATCTTGTAAACAGTTTTGCGGAACTATTTTCATGTTGCTGTTTTGTTCCCACAACTTGAGAAATGTGATTAACATGAAACAGTAAAAGGCTTCTCATGTGCAACTACTAACAGATGGCAATTCAGAGAGCACCAGCAAATTTCACAGCTTTTTATTATCAAACAAAAGAACGTTAAGATTCACAAAGAGTGATCACAATTGTCATTTCTCCATGAAAACGTGTTACAATGGCTAATGATGCCTTTTCCTCTCCCTCCCCTGGCATTTGTTGACAGTTATTAGCCTTCCTCCTGTGCCTTAAGTGCTCCCCTACCATGAAATTTTGCCCTTGTTTCGGCTTCTCAGCTCCTCCTCACTCTTATTCCCTCTCCTCCATATTTTTGTTCCTGCCCTCCTGCAAGCCACTTCTAACCTCTGCCAGCACCGGGGAGAACAAAGTGCAGTTCAGAAACGTGTGCCAGTTTGTCACACGCTGCCTTGAGCTGTGACTAAACAGAGGCATATTCACTGCAGACCAGATCACCAAACTTAACCTGACAAATTTCTACTCAGCTTTACGTGTGCTAGAGATTTTCCCTCTCCCTTTCTACCCCCTTTAAAAACAACAACATTGCAAACCTGGCAGACCTTAGAAGGAAATGACATGCACAGCAGGAGACCAACATCAGACCAGACCCTCCCAAAGCAACAGTTGCCTCTACTTTCCTCCTTTGAAAGCTCTCAAACTTGAGCTGCATCAGTTTGTCTTCAGGGCGGCTATTCATTTTGCAGCCTAACTTCTTGAATCAAAACTGCAATTTGTTCCATTCATCTTAATACTAATGTGCAGCTGATGTCTGACTTTTTTTTTATTTAAAAAAAAATTTAATTAAAAGAAAAAAAGAGGAAGAACAAACAAACAAAAACCACCCCAGAGAATTCTGACGGGAGGCACTCCTGTGATACCATATATTCTTTTTACTTTCACAGTACCTGGATGCCCACATTGCAGTCCTAAAAGGACGGACCTGTTAACCCTTCTAAGCAGGAAGAAAAACAGATCAGGCACAACTGGTGAGAAACTGGATGAAAATGCCAAGACCACCCTTCAACGCACATTTTTTATGAAGCAAGGCAGACAGCTTCATTGACTGCGCTAGACCAGGGACTTCTCGAGGGGCTGAAGTTCTAAGCAGGTTTGTTAAATTTCTGCTTGCATTAAAGGAAAAAACATTTCCTGGAAGAAAAAACAATGTAACACAATGCTACTGATGATCCTTCTTTATACAGTTTTGTTGTTGGCTACCTTCAGAGAAAAATTTCACTGCAACGTCTCTAAATTTGCAATTTAGCCTTTTTTTTAAAAGCAACAACAATAGCAACAAAAAATATTAAGGTCTTCACAATAGAGCTTGTCAGATCTGTGGGCTGCGCTAAGATGTGATGGCACCCAGCCTCTAAATCTAGAATCTATTCTAGAGTCTCTTCTAATTGCATTGGTTTTAAGCATGAGCACAGTCCTGCCACATTACAACTTTACTGAATTAGTCCATGAAAGCTCTGCAGACTAAATTCTGTGCAATTTTTTTGTTAAGGTTTAAAAACAAACAAAAACACATCTTTTCTTTCATCTAATCTCCTGCCAGGCAACTCCAGCTATATTTGAAAGCCAGACAGAGCCATGAAGAGAATAACAAAATCCTTTATGGACTTACACCTTTAGCACGTCATGAATAATGAACAGCTAATTGCTTGTATTCTGTCATCAGCTTTATCGCTTTCTATTGACAGCGGCTGTAGCAGAAAGAGCTAAATAAAACCATTTCAAAACAAGTATCTTGGCTCTTGCCAGATTTTCCATTTTCTTGTACTGAATAAAATATGACCTTGATTCTTACTACTGAATCAGGTTGCTACTCAGATAACCTGAAATAGAAAAGGCTGACAAGGTAGAACAAAGCGTTGTTTGATAGAAACTCAAACCTCTTTCCTTGATGACTTTCTACAGAGCCAAATCAATAACACTAATGTATTTTTCCACATTTTCTTGGCAAAAAAGAAAAAAAAAGAAATATCATTACTTCAGCCTTGAACGTATTTTAACTGCCTTTTAAATTCAGCTCACTAGCATCTAAAGCTCTCCAATCTCAAAAATTCTATTCTCACTCCAAGAATAACTCATTTAGTGCATCCGCTTCACTCGACCACACATAAACTTTTTCAGGACACTGTGTGTGTTAAGAACGAAGTGTACGCGGCAGAAGCTGCATTAACACTGAAGATCCCACATTCCAAATGTTACATGACTAATCAAAAAAGCTTGTCCTAATATCAAGTCAAGGCCTGCCTAAAAACAGATTGCTCCAAATTACAAGTTCTTCATCCCTAAGGAAGTCGTACACTCTTAGTTCCTGAACACCATCAGGATGCATCAGTACCAACAAGCTTCACTAGAGGCAGGCAGTGTGCTGCTTTAGGCATTTAAACTCTTTCTCAAGGTTATTTCTTCTCTCCAAGCAGTCTCAGATGAGAGACGAGATGGGTGGGAGCAGAATTCCTTGCAGCACAGCTTAATTTTCAAGACAAAAGGGTTTTCAGATCTTTAATGCCCTATCAGCATGGTTCACAATTGTGTTCGCAACAATTAAGGGAAGATGACTAACGGCATTTGGACAGCACTGCTATGGTGCAGTGCTGCAAGAGATGAGGCAAAATACCTTGGATGTTTTTCCAGTGCTGAGGGCCACAGATGTATGTACTGCAAGTAAAGACACAGAACTTCTCCTCTGGGAAAAAATTGCTTTTTGCAATACCTAGCACTTCATAACCATGAGAACTGCAGATCTGAATATGCAAGAAGTCCTCTAGAACTATGAGCCAAGAAGCTTTTTTACTCCAATTACAGATCCTTTGAAAGATGAAAACAGTATCTTTTATAGAAACCTTTTCTGCATTTCAATTACATAATATATAATATGTGATATATAATTGTATATATAATTCTGTCAGCACAGCAGGAATTTGCTGGTAGTGAAGTATCTTTTTTTTTTTTTTTTTTTGCTAGGTAGTAACTGATTTAATACCTTAATGCAATTAAATTTCATATCTGAAAGGAAAGAAAAAGCGGGGAAAAAAAAAAAAAAAGGAGTACAACTGTTACCAATGACAGCATGGCAAGCCAATGCAGTGCAGCATGAAAGTACATCTTGGAAGAAATGACCTGAAAACCATTTCAATACCTCGCCATGGAAAAGGACTGTTCCAAAGGATGACCCACCAACCGGCTGTTTGGAAGAGCACAAATCTTCATGGGTGTCTGTGATAAAGTGTTTTATGCGCTGTCTCTGCTAACAGATAAAATATCATTGATGAAAAACAGTAATAAATTTCCATTAAATATGCCAACATCACAGAAGTCATATGCAAGTGGGAAGACTGGAGCATCAGAAGATCAGGAAAGTTACCTAGCAAAAGACAACACAGGTTAGCTGCTTTGGAGCTATTAAGGATTTTATGATGAGAAAATAGCAACTTCCCCTCTGAGAAAATGTAAGGAGGAAAATGCTTCACTGCAAATGCTACTGCTTTTTTACCTCCTCTTCCAGCATAGGAATGATTCTGCAGGAGAAAGCGTCTCATGCAGGAGGGCCAGTTTCTGGTCACAAGGGACCACGAGTGTCGCCTGCATGTTCCTGATAAAGGCTGTGAAGAAGGGAACACTACCTCACATGGCATCCCTGTGCTGAAAGATAAGGGTTCAGCCGCAAAAATCTAAGGCAACAAGGCGAGCTCAATAACAGATTGCATATAGTTCCTGCCCAGCACACCAGTTAGCAGATGAAGCCAGCACCTTTCAGGAATATACAGCAAGCACCACTATTTCTCCAGCATTTGCCCTGATTATCACTCACAGCATAAAATACTTCATCTTCAACACAAGGGGTCTATTAAATCCCTAAAAAAAGGTCCTAATACTGTCCTAGTGGTGGGAATTCCCCACTCCCCTCCTGCAAAAAGCAAGGGGAGATCACTGTAAAGCTGGCAGTCTCAGAGGATGTTTCATCATGATTTCTGGGTATCCTTTTTAAAGCAGCTTGATATGGCAGCCATATGCTAGACTGGATCGTTACACTAGAAAATGTGCTGTCTCCTTGAAAGGAAGTCTTAAAGGGAAGTTTCTGTAGCTAATATGACCCAATCCCCAATTCTCAGCAGCAGCTGACAGAAATCTAGAAACAACAGGAATCTAGTCTTGACTATACAAGTAGTGCTTTCATCAAAAGCATCAGGAAAAGGTCAAAAAAAAAGAAAATATGGGGTGAGCATATGGCCACACCACGCAAGAGCTCTGAACTCCAAACTAGGTATTTGTCAAGATATTAAACAACTCGAGCCATGAACAACTAAAAGGCAGTAAGCAGACAATCATCAAAAGCATAAGCAAAACATGGAAAACAGAAAGGGTACAAGAAGGATCTGGTGATTACCAAAAGTTGCTGATATATAAACTCAACTTTAGTTCCAAGTAAGGAGAAATAGTCTGAGCTTGAGCTGACTGCACTATATAAAGGCAGACGTGAATAAAGGACAGCTCAGAGGATCTTGTTGGCAACTTTATAGCGTGTGGATAAAATCAAATGCTTGAGTGTCAGCCACTGTCCATCCTGCTGTACCCGACCAGCCCAAGGCTTTATGTGCTGCAGGGCCATGTTCAGCCTAGGTATAGACACATAAATGTGTACATACAAAGACACACCTACGCAGTCTTCGGTGATCAGATACAAACAGAGTCATTTAACACACATTAGCCGCTGATATAAGATGGCAGGCTGCATATGAAAGTTGATCCTGGTCTTCCTTTAAACTCTCCCAGAGAAGAGGAAAAAAACAAAATAAACTACTAGACCTTTCCTTGCAAAAACTAGAACTCTGCTAGAAGCTGCAGCCACCCAACTCTGCTCCTAATTAGGAAGGTGACATTTTAGACTTCTTAATAAAGCAAATAAAATATTTTTTTTTTCTTCACAGCAATTAACCTACTCAAATATACAGAAAAAATAATCAGTGTGACAGTAACGCACACTACCTAACTAAATTAATAGTATTTTAAACACTATTATAGCTTTGAAGTTTTGAGATTGTTTTCTTATGTTTGTACCCTGCAAGACAATGCATGCTTAAGCTAGATCTGCTACTGCTCCATTAAAATGAATTCATAGTAGAAATTAAAAACAAACAGAAAAAAAACACTTTTTTCACAGTTTCAATGAACAATTACCATTAATGATTTTAGCAGTATAAAAGAGCCGTATCATCTAATGCTGTATAGATGATTTTTAACACATCTTTCCAGTTAACTTCTCCTCCATGCTATGGTTTTGCATTGTAATTTCAGTATTCTTCTTTAATATCCACTGAAGAAAGAAACTTAATTTACCTCTTATTTCAATAGTGAAGAATGAGAACGACACACTAGCTGCTTCATCTGCTCTCAGGAAAAAAGATAACACTCTTAACAAATCTAATGCAGAACTTTAAGATAAATTAAATATTCCGTAAACTGAAAGATAACAATGCACAGTTTGCCAAGGCTTGAATTTAGGGTTCTATTTTCTCTTGCAACTAATGACATCATTAACACTGATGACTTATAATGATTTTTATGCTGGAATAATTATTCTCAGGATGATTCTTCTAAGCACACCCACATCCTCTGTCTGCCCTTCTAAACTGCCACTATGATTCATGCTCCACTGACATACACTGACTTGGGAAAGCTGTTCAATCCCCAGCTAAGATTACATAGAAATATATGAACTAATTAGAACAAACAGTTGCAGATATTAGTAGGAGAAAAGAAAGAGAGATGCATGTTTTTATTTTCAATGATTTGAAAAAAATAACAAGTTCCAGGATTTTTCCATTTTGTTGTTAACGGATAGTAGAGAAACTAGTCCAACCACAGTGATTTTCCAGAAAGCTACCAGCTTTCCCAACCTTTATCTGCCCAATTGCCCAACACTTCAATCACACACAAAGTTTTATTTCAGCACATGCACACACACAGCCCTGGGCTGTCAAAGCAAAGCACATTAGCAAAACCCTGCCAAGCTGCCAGGCTGAAAAAGACCCTTTACTTTTGCCCCTCTGCATATTAGAAATTCCCCACAGATTGAGATACAACATAGTCAAGCCCTTTCCAAGTTCTCACTGCATTTAGTTCTTAGCTTGTCAAAGACAAGATGGACTTGTCAGAGGAAAGAGGAGAAAACAACCAACAAAACCAGAATATCAGTAAAGCCCCATACGTTACATTTGAATTATGAACAAAACAAATTGTCATGACTTTTTTTTTTTTTTTAAGGCATAGACCTTTTGAAAAGGCCTCAAAATTCACTGTTCTGAAAGACTTTAATATTATCATACTCTCCCATTTTTCCAAAGGGAAAGACTAAGGAATCACCAAAGTATTAAATAAAAACTTTGCTGTTACATACATTTGTTTTATTTCTTAAAGGGGATAACAAAGAAAAAATCCAGAGCTGTTCTAAAACACTTAATTAGGTAAAGCTGTAAAACTACTGCTCAAATATGATAAAAAATTATAATCATAATTAGCACCTTGGAACACAACTCTAATAATTTAAAATACTGAGCGTCAGCTAGAGGGCAGCAGCACTTGACTACTCTAGTGAGACTCAGGAAGAAATCTAAGTGACTAACTACAGTAAAAAGCACCCCCAACCACATACACAAATTACTTCCCAAACTGAAATACGGTTTGAAAGTTATTTGAAAAGGGAAGCTGAACAAATAATATCTATGCATAGAAAAGACTGAAGAATTCTCATAGCAGTAAGTCGATTCCTTAAACTTTTTTTTAATAATACAGACAGCATGCTAAATAAGGAAAACAAATTGCCTTAGCAGGGTTTGACAAAAATAGTGGTACTCATTAATCTAGAAAGCAATAGAGGACTTAGGACAACTAGCAAATTTCATTTTAGAGAGCATTTTAAAATTACTTCCTTGGATGTTCCCTTAAACACTTTTCTTATGTTTCAGTAATAATTTGCCTGCACTATTCCCAGTATTGTACTGGAATGTGAAGAAGTTGCCTGGAAGCTCCAATGATGAGACAATAAACGAAAACCAGAAGAAAACTCTCCAAGTCTTGCTCCTTGCAATGTCTAGCTGCAGAACAGCACAGTGTCAAAGCATAACAGAAGAAGTGCAAGGCTGGATCAGCGAGAATCCATACCCAGGTATTTACCCTGGCTGAAGAAAAAAAAGCACTTAGGACATTTAAGACACTTCAAGAACCCCAGGTGGCAAGAAGGCTACACATGTTCATTGGTAACATGACCTGTTAGTACGGCAGAACATCTCCTGTTTTTGAGTGGCTAGAGTGCCTGACTTGTGCACAAATACGAGATTATTTAAAGAAGAATGGATTAGTACTTGAGGCTGTAAGAACAATTCTTCCTTCTAGCAATACTGCCAGATTGAGTAAAAGGAAAACGGTACCATTCCTTAGGAACATACTATCTGTATTTCATTACGTGTTAAGCTTTACTTTTTGACCGTTTCTGTGGTTACCAACAGCTCAAATATACCTGCCGGATAACAGAAATAATCATATCTATCAAAAACTTCAATCTGAAGCCTCCTTGAAAAAACATCTTTAGCTATACCCTTGATCATAGTTATCATGACCTGAATTCTACTGTATTTGGGAAGGAAAAAAATATATCAAGAGCACATGAGTCATTGTTTTCAGTAGCTCAGTCAATATCCTCTGCAGTTAGACAGAACATAGTAACACTTAAACAACGCCAATGTTAGGAAAAAAATGTTAGAAAAAATAAAGAAATAAAGAACAATGTACATAAAATCATTTCTTTGGCTGTCCTTGTAATTCTAAATAAAGAGAGTTGAATAGAGGATAGAGGAAGGTTCACGTGACAAATATCAATGTACACAATAGAAAAATCAGTCTGAAGCTCTAAAATACTGGAAGCTCTTTCTTAGTTGAAAAAAAGATTCAGAGTATGATAAGATGCTCTGCTAACACACTGTTATAAACTTAATTATACACTCAAGAGGTTCCCCAGACCATATTTCACAGAAAAGAACCTTTCAACATTATAGAATTGTAACCTATCAACATTACAGCTTATCATAATAGCATAATAAAGATGTTTACAACAAACTGGTTCCTTGGTAATGCTGCTCATGGGCCAAGGTTAAGTATTACTGCCCAATTACTTCATTGCTGTGTCAGAATTGTGCTATTAGCTACGTCACTTGATTAGCAATATCAATTTCCCCCCATCAATA